AAAATAAAAATGTTTACAAATGAATAGTGTATCATCATTAAATGTTTGTAAATGGTTTATGCCTACTTCACAACTGTTAACAGCTTTTTTAAAAACTCCAATAACCAGTTTGGAATTGAATGAGAAAACCCCACTTCATTCTGACAGGAGGGATATTCACAGAGGGCAGCCTTCTCATGCTACTGGGTTAGAAGATACTCTGTTATAAGATGAAAACATTTTGTATTTTTCCTAACCAGGAAAAATTATGCTCACATGTAAGAAATCATCTCTTGCTTTACAAATACAACTTAAATTTTTTGAACATATCTGTTAAAGCTTTTTCTTTTTTAGCTTTAGGCAAAACATTGCATCTTTTAAAAACTATATTTAGCAGAACTCAAGTCCTGTGTCAAATGTCCTGGAAGTAGAGCCCAAAGTGGGGAGGCCCTCTGAGACCTCAGGCTTTTGTTCTAAATGTTTAGGAAGGTCACAGTTGGCCTTTAGAGGTCAGAATTCAAATCAGAAAACACATGCAATTGTCAGATTCTGCCTCCTAATTTACAGCAAAACTATAACAAAGCAAGACTCCCATTTTATCTTAAAGAATTTTACATCATGCAAACTTAAAAAAAAAAAAAAACCCAAAGGGTCAGGGGCTTAATTCAGTGACACAGCACTTGCCTGGCAAGCATGAGGTTGTGAGTTTGATTTCCAGCACCCCCCCCCCCAAAAAAAAAAAAAAAGAATGAGAAGCCACTGAGACTGGGTATGGTGGCATATGCCTGTAATTCCAGTGGTTGTGAGTTTGATTCCCAGTACCAAAAAAAAAAAAAAAAAAAGTCATTCCAAGTCCTACTAAAGATCATGAGCCCCCTAGACTCAAGCATCAGAAAATGAGTTTTTACATTTTTCTGGTCTTCTTAGAAGTATTTTTGGCTGACAGACTTAATTGAATCACATCATAGTCCATACCTGCTGCTGAGGAACGCATCTGTTTTTGCTCAACCACTCAACCCTGTCTCCAGCTACAAGGAAACTACTTTTTGATCTGGTAAAAGAAAATGGTTCTGGTGACTCAGCCATCCAAGGAGGGCGTCTCTGCACTGACAGGGCACTCGCCTCTCACTGCTTCTGTGCCAGTTTGCCATAGCCCCCTCTTCCAGCATCATAGTCCTGCTGATATTCATCTCGAACTTGGCCTCTAGAGCACCCACAGCCATACTGTTGGCCCTCCTTGAAGCCGGCATCCCAGTCTGTGCGGATGATCCTGTCATCCAGGTGAGTCCCGTTGATGAATCGCATGGCATTTTCTGCATCAGGTCTTGAATAGTATTCCACAAAGCAGAAACCACATGCTGTTTTCTTCACTTTATCCAAGCCCATAATTATCTTCTTTATGTCACCACTTTTGCTAAAGAGTTCATAAATTTGTTCTTCAGTTGTATAAAATGAGATATTTCCCACATACAATGTACAGCTTTTCTTCAGTAATTTTTCTTGTTCTTCATTGTCACCCAGAATGTGCTGGTCCCGCTACTAGCTCAGCTCCATGTAAGAGTCGCTGTGCAGCACCTTCAAGAGGATACCCAACATGATGCTAAGCAGTACAAGACGAAGTGCCTAACCACTCTCAATAGCCCGATAACAGCCAATGAAATACGAGATGTAATAAAAAAAAAAAAACCTACCAACAAAGAAAAGTCCAGGTCTGCATGAATTCACAGCTGAATGCTATAAGA